TTTGTTTTTTTTGAGACAGGGTCTCGCTATGCAGTTTCAGCTGGCCTTGAGCTCACTTTGTAGCCCAGGCTGGTCTTGAACTCGCAACGATCCTCCTGCCTCAGTCACCTGAGTGCTGGGATTACAGGAGTGCACCACTATATCCGTTCTCAAATTCGTTTTCTATAAAACAGGGCCAAAGATAGTATCACCAGAGACTGTATTTCCCCATAGGCGACTTTCAGTGCCAAAACCGTGAGTCCCGGGAAAACCTGCTGGAGCTCTTTACCTCTGTACATGGATACTGCAGGGACGCCAGGAGTCGGCGAATTGTTGGTCTGAGGGAATCCGAGGAAGCGGTCCAGGGCTGAGCCCTGGCTGTAACTTCGAGAGGCCGAAGCCAGGCGGGGACCAGAGAAAGAGGTGCCCACCGTACAGGACAAGAACCTCTTTTGGCAGCCTAAGAGTGAATGGAGAGGGGCTTCCCATTCCCTCGGAGCGCGAGGGCCCAGGTGCCAGACCCCTAACACCAACCGAACAAAACCAGCCCCGTATCGGCTGGGAGCAGCCATTACAGCCGCAAAGCACTCTGGGAGTGAGGGCAATTATGATTGGACGGAGTGGCGGACAAACGAGCAAGTAGAGAGCTAGATAGGCCCAAACAGAACAGAGATGCCCGGGATGTTGGAGGCGGAGAAGGAGACTAACAGCTGGAGAGACTAATAGAGGCTGAAAAAAGGGAAACATGTACTATTTAGAATGATGAAAGTTTGGGACTTCCATACATAACGTATTTTCTTCTTCAAAGTTTTGTTAAAAAGTCCTTCTAGCCCTGGCTCCTGAAGGACTACATCTCCCAGGAGGCCAAGCGACAGAACGCAGCCTCTTAGCGCGCGGTGCGGGGTACAGATCAAGAGAAACCCTTGGTTCCAGGGGAAGAACAGGCGTAGGCATACCATCTGTGACCTTAAGTGTGTTTTTGTTTTTGTTTTTGTTTTTGTTTTTGTTTTTGTTTTTGTTTTCGTTTTCTATTCTCAGACCTGTAGAATTCTTTTCCATTCCAATTTTGTCTCCGCCTAGGGGTCGGCAGCAGCCTCCTGTAGCTTTTGATGTCTGCTAGCCTCAAGTGAGGAATGGTCTCTTGCTCGGCGTTCCGGTTGAGCAGCTTTCCCCAGCTTTCCCCGCTATAAACATCAGTGACTATCTTCTCTTTGAGGCCATTCGTTTTTGGAGAAAAACCAGAGGGTCTGCAAAGGAAGAAGCTGCTTAGCCATGTAGGATCTCCCAGATCACTCTAACTGATTTGTTTTGTGTCCTTGAGTTCTCTAAATCCTTTCAAACCTGTCACTGTCAAACAGTTGAAGCTGAGCGATAAATTTTGTGGGGATTGGTATTGGGAGGATAAGGATTTTTTTTGTGTGTGAGACATGATCTCTGTGTATAGTTCAGGCTGGCCTTAAGTTCATTATGTAGTCCAGGCTGTTCTGAAACTGACAGTGATCCTCCTGCCTCGGCCTAATTTATTAAGCATCTACTATATGCAAGTCCTGTCTAGGTTGTGGGGATGCATCAGTAAACAAAACAGACAAAATAGTCCAGCATGAGATTTGCATCCCATTCTGGCCTTCAACTTGCCATGCAGCCTGAATGGCCTATGTGTGAGATATTAGTGACCTCCTGACAGGAAGTTTCAATACAGTCATTTGTATGAAGACCTAAATGAAATGGCTATCCCTGTAATCTTAGGTACCCAGGAAGTTGAGATAGAAGGATCACAAGTTTGAAGCCAGTCTGGACAATATAAAGAAGGACTGAGGATGGCAGAGTGCTTGTCTGGCATCCTGGTAGTCCCTGGATTTAATCCCTAGTCCTACAAAAAAAAAAAAGAAAAAAGCACAGGAGAGGTTTGTGGGATTAAAAAATATATTTCTTATTTATTTATTTATTTTGTTAGTTTGTTTTTACATCTTTTTGAGATAGGGTTTCGCTATGCACTTCAGGCTGGCCTTGAACTCATTTTGTAGCCAAGGCTGGCCTTGAACTCTTGGCGATCCTCTGGCCTCAGCCTCCTGAGGGCTGGGCTTACAGACCTGAGCCACCACACCTGGCTTCTTTTCTCTTTTAGAATAGAACATTTTTGCCGGGTGTGGTGGTGTACACCTGTAATCCCAGCACTGGGGAGGCAGAGGCAAGTTTGAGACCAGCCTGGACTACAAAGTGAGTTCAAGGCTGGCCTGAACTACATAGCAAGACCTTATCTCAAAAAAATAAAAAAAAAATTAAAAAGAATGCAGGGTGTACTGGGGCATGCCTGTAATCCTAGCACTCAGGAGGCTGAGACAGGAGGGTCATAATGAGTTCGAGGCCAGCCTGCACTACAGAGGGAAACCCTGTCTCAAAACAACAACAACATTTCATCTCAGCACTTGGGAGACTGATGCAGGAAAATTTTGAGTTCAAAACCAGTTTAGGAGCCGGGCATGGTGGCACACACCTGTAATCCCAGCAGTCGAGAGGCTGAGGCAGGAGGATCATTCTAGTTCAAGACCAGCCTGGGCTACAAAGTGAGCTCAAGGTCAGCCTGAAATGCACAGAGAGACCCTGTCTCAAAAAGATTAAAAAAAAAAACAAAAATCAGTTTAGGACCAGATGTGGTGACACACACCTGTAATCCCAGCACTCAGGAGGCTGAGGCAGGAGGATCATTGTGAATTAGAAGCCAGCCTGGGCTACAAAGTGAGCTGAAGGACAGCCTGAACTGCATAGTGAGACCCTGTCCCAAAAAGACTGTTATGGTTTGTGTCTGGGTGTCCCCCAAAAGCCTCATGCGGCCATGGGGCAGGCTTTTAGAGTTTGATTATGGATGTGAGAGCTACAACCGCCCTGGGGT